GTATATTTAATTTGATGTTACAAAACTTTATAGTAAAGTTAAACTTTCCTAACATCCAGAATATCATAGCTTTTTTTATACTAAAATTATGTCAATAAAGATACTTAAAATAAATTGGTCTACAATTTTTTTTTAATAATTGGTAATTATTCTTAGAAATGTTGAATTTATGTCTTAAAGTTAAAGATCTAATATAGATTTTAAATAATCGTTATTTAAATGTAGATATAAAAGCGTAAATTTCTTAACTATAATAATTTCAATTTAATTCAAATTTATATTTCAATGTGTAATTAAATAACTTTCTGTTTTAATAGCCCCGCAGGTCGCGACTTATTTGCGAAATTAAAATGCATTAACTGAGAAGATCATTAAATGGAAATATTTAAATGTGGGTTTATGAATCCTCGCACGCACAAGGTTTTATCCGAGCCCCAGATTAAATATTAATTATTATATGTATTTTATGTGCACGAACTAATGTTTATATGTTTGTTTGCATGCAAAACGCGCGTACGGCCGTTGCAGTCCATTTGTATTTTAAGGGATTTCTTTGTTTTTCTATACATTTTTTTACTCGGTTAAATAGCGCAAATATTGCTACCCAATTGTGGTTACGCAGCAGCAAATACGCCTATTCCATTCGAAATTATCCGATGAATTTGCACGAAACGCTCAAATAAATCCGATTAATATGGTCAGAAGCAATTGTTTTATTCTGTTTGTAATAGATTTTCCGTACATTATATATTTTAAATAATATTATTAATAAAACAAAAATAATAATATTATGGAATTGTAAATTCAGTGAAAATGAAACCTTTCAACTGATTAATTCAGTAAAATAACAGTTTTCATTTATAAAGTTATTATATATTGTTTTTCATGAGTATGTGAAATGTGTGTCGGAAGAGCGCAAATAACTCTTTAACAGAAATGGAAATTTTGTTTGAAAACCTAATTTCTTTTAAATTTATGCGGATTTGAGAACTAAGGATTCACTTGTTTGTGAAGAAGTAAATTAAAATCTCTGTTTTCGATAAATATATCACTTCTCCAATAGACAAAGTGTTAACCAGATTATTGTTGTATGTCACAATCTGTTCATCAATGTGAACATTGAGTAAATTTAAGATCGTGGTGGACATTAAATGGATAATCTTTCCCGGTGGATCGTTACCATTATGACGATTTGATATTAATTTGTTGGTTGGCTGTCGTCTTGTAGTTTAACTTAAGTAGCTGAACCATATGCTGAACTTCATTCATTTGACTGTCCATCTGTGATGAACGATGGCCCTATTGCTGCAAGCACCGAGAGACCTCACACAGGGCCTTGCTTGATCAGGATTCGAACCGGCGCCCACGAAATCGTGGGTAGGGCGACTTAACCATTAGGCTATTAGTCGTCCCTTGTTAACCAGATGAGTGAAATTTTTGTCTCCAGTAGACAAACTAGTACCCAAATATTTGAGAACCAAGGTTTCATTGTAAACAAAATACCATTGCAAATTCCATATATTTCCTGCCAAGATTTGACAATTGAAAATGGTTTATTTTTAACTCAAACAAATTATAACTACAGTTACTGAACTACAAATTCCAAATTCATATTATTGAATTTAGAAACAATCAACTCCAGTAAAAGAAAATTTTGTTCGGAAACCGATTTTTTTAATTTTTTCAAATTGTTTGAGAACTGAACTTAATATACATACCACTGTATAAACATCACATACATTTCCACTGCTTAAACATATACGTATCATATTTGAAATTATATTATGAAATAGAAACTAGTATTATATAAAGTTTTATGAAAAATATTTATTTTTTTCATTTCATTTCATTTTTTTTTATATATTATTTTGTGTATATTAAAACTATATATTTATAGACTAATTTATTTTTATAATTGACATTTTGTTGCATTGTTTATGAATGAGTCGAACTTTTTAATTAAAATTTAAATATTCAACTAAAAATGCACATATTTCCATATAAATATATATAGAGAGTTAAATCAATTTAATTAAATTAAACGAAAAATTCACAATAAATTGTTTCAATTTGCTGACGCGCATCGACCTCTTTTTCATCAACACGTTACAAACATATATATGCACAGAGTATATAAATAAATTAATTAATAGGAGAAACGGGGGAGGAGAGCGAACTGCCTGTCCTCAACAAGTATGATTAAATGCGCGGCCTTTTTACCACCCACCTCCAATTTTCATTCCCCATTTAAAGTCTTTAATTTGAAAAGCAGTCCATTAATCACATTGAATGCGATGAAAAAAAAAACCTTAACGTAAAAAAAGGCGATTATCTACATAAACTCAATCAATTTTTCTCTTTGTTGTGGTAGATATATACAAATGTAGTAGGGGATGAAAAGAAAAAAATACAATCGTTACAAAATGATGAAACAAACGATGGGAATTGATTTGTGATTCGGGGGGATGCGCCGGGGAAAGCAAGAAAGATCAACAGGAGTGAAAATAGACCGCATAACAACCTTAGATCCGGACAGAACCTTTGAAACTTTTATGGAAAAGCAGGAAATTAACATGAGGGGGATACCCGGAAACGGTGGGTATCATTCACACGGGCGCACTCGGAAAACGCTTTCGGTTCGGAAACTGGGCCTTCGACAGCCAAATTCGCATCCGTGGAATAAAAATGTGAGCAAATGGAATCACGATTTGATCCATTTACATTTTAATAATTTAAACTATGGAAGGTGGCTTTTTCGTGTTTAATTATTTGCTTTGCATATTTTGACACTTTCGATTATTTTGTTGTTATTAATAGTTTATTAAGTTATTCATATTTTATCCAAAATATACGTGACTTGAGACATAAGTGTTTATGATGCAGGTTTCGGTATAGATTTTCATGAAAATTGGTTATATTCAAACTGCACTGACAGTTATTGCTTCAAAATTAAGAATTCCGTAATCATTTACTGGTATTTAGATTGAAGAAAATCGGACTGCCAACAAAGAAAACTTTTGCTTTTTTAAAACAATAACATAAATTTGGATAATGAACACCTTACAGTACATTGAATGACAAATTTAGTGTGATCAGATAAGAAATAAATCTGGTAGAAAATATCCTTTTTAACGGATAATAGTCATTATCCCATTACTTGATCTGTATAATTATTATAGTGATGGAACTATCATGAAGTTAGATGAAACTCAAATTGTACTTACAAATATCATTTAAACATATAATTTAGTGCTTCAATATATTGCGTTATTCGTATTTAGATTGAAAGAAAGTGTACAATTATTTAAATGTTGCGATAGTATATCATCAAGTCCAATCACATTCAAACTGTACTGACAGCTGATAATTGTACATAGTAATTAAACATTTTCGGCGGATTTATCCGCCCAAATTTGTATATGCTTATGGAAACTATGAAAGAGCAGACATCAAATCTTAAGCGAGTCGCCACTAACCTCTTTGGGACGGTGTCGTCATGTTCAGGATTAAGCGTTAAGTGTTTTTCGATTTTCGATTACTTGTGTTATCGAAGCAGTGGTTTAGTTTCTGACCACGAACGTTAAATTGTTCCATACTCAAAAGGTTAAAGCTTTGAAATACTTGACATTTTATATCTATATATATGGTTTTTCATATTTAAATTTGAGAAATGTATAACACTATGCGTTGTTTGAGACAATACTTATAATAAGTATTATGACACTCAAAATATACTATAGATAAAAAAAAATAGATCAAAAACTATTAATGAGTCAATATGTTCTGTTGACGCTTATAATTATACAATTGGTAATCGGTTAACGAACAGTTCGGACTAAGAACAAAATGGATAACGACCTCTTTTGAGAAAGATTTTTGTAAGCTATTGTTAGTGGTGATATACCTATATTGACTAATGACTGAAATTATACAATATGTGATAGGTTAATGAACGGATTACATTAATTACACGGATTACATCACATATATAATCATATAAAAGAAATAATGTTTGTGTGTAATTATTTTCTGAAAAAAACAAGGTTAAAGGAAAATATATAGTATTCTTGTCAAATATATACATTAATAGCAAACAAATATAACAAATAAATGATACTAAATACTTGTGGTCATTAAGAATGACAAACTGAATTAGGACGGTTATGTTTGGAATGTTACGACAAACATTCCTATCATTGCAAAATGTGTTTACAACGTAAAATACACACCTAACTAAATGATAATGTAATTTATACAATAGTCTCTTTAAATCCATGATCACATATGGTTTAAAAATTGAATGAAATACTATACTTGATGAAATAAATATAACAAAAAGTATTGCAAAATCATGTTATCATAAAATAAAAGTAGTGTTTAAGTATGAAATATATCTCATGAAATTAAAGTTGGATATAACTGTATGTCATCAAATCAATGTATATAGAAAAATTGCTTTAATTGGACTACTTAACTATAAATATACTTTGCTTGATAATTTAAATAATTTTGTGTATGCAATGTTCTCAATTACATTTATATTAATAAAATAAATCTTAGAAATATAATGAAGTTTTGGGAAATCATCAAAAATATTTAAGTTGCAAAAAAATTACTAAATATTATGTATTTGAATAACTCATAGTTAATGTGTCCTTTAAATAGTTTCATTGATTAGTTTTATCCATATAAAACTGAGAATGTGTTTAGTATACTTTCCATTTTTGGTTGTAATTTATATATTATATATTCATATTTATTTATGAATTTTCTTAATTTTATTGTTATAAATTAGACAACATTTAAATACCATTTATGTGTTCATCCTTAGTTGATAATCCCTTATAACTTGTTAACTTGTTTATTTAGAATATCGTTACCAAGATGCGCTTTACAATAAATACACAATTAAAAATCAATACAAAACATAATTAATTTAGTAAAACCACTTTATTAAAATAAAATACATAAAAATGCTAAAAAAACAGGCCAAATATAGGTCTTATTTCAAATTAGTTATTTTACAAGTATAAAAGAAGGAATGGTACACTTTTTGAAATATACAATATAATTTTCGGGAACTAAAAAATAATAAAACATTACTAATATCAAATTGGATTATTTTCCAAGAGCGTATGGGCTCTGAGGATTCGTCCTGAAATAATAGGATCCCTCTGCATTACCCGGCATATCATCTCCGTATATTATTTTCTCGTTATTGTCGCAGTCGCCTGCCGTGTATCTCTCCCAGGACTCGCATTTCGTAGCAATAAATTTATCCGAGTAAATTGATTCAGCATATATAAGGGCGCTCCTCTTCAAGCTGCAATAATCTACGCACACATAACGAAAAATAAAAGTAGCAAGGAAAAGTAAACAAGATAAATGCATTTTTAATACTGCAGGAAGGAATATAATAGTTACCGTCGTACAAAAGGACCTGTTTCCAGCCGTCCTTCTCGCCGACTCCGTAAATCTTCTTCTCCTCTACCAGTTTGCAGCCCGGCTGTATTTTGTCTCCGAAGTTGGGGTAGAAATCGACCGATCCATGGGACTCGGCGTAGCCTAGGTTGCGGTCCGTGTGAAGGATGTCAACGATGCGGGCGTCGTTGGCGGACAACTTCGCGTCGTCCTTGACTAAGATGCTCTCGAATCCTGGACGGGTGGGATTCAATGCCGTTATCCTACCTACTTTCGCTCCTCTTGTATACTGGTTAGCTTTCCTTGCTGCGTGAGCTGCGATCTGTGCTCCGGTCGAGTACCCAATTATTTGTACTCTTCCCAACGTTATACAACGGGACAACTTCAGTCTGCCCAACAATTCACCCAAGTAAAAACCTATAAGAATAAAGAATTGTCAATAGAACCAGCGTATATCATATTCATAAATAACATATTTACTTATAAATATTTAATGTAAATAGTAATGTTAGCAAAACAAAATATTCAAAATAATTTTATTGTTTAGTACATTAGACATGAATGAGTGATGTAATAAAATGAAGATCTTAAGTTTTCTTTCTTAACAAATATCAAATTAGTAATCGCTTTGGACATTGTTAAAAACCACAAATTATCGATACATAAATATTTTTGCAAGTAAAATTTAACATTTTCCTATCATAAGTATTCCAATTTGGTGGTACATATTTTGTTAATTAGTACATAAATTACCTATTCGTAAATAACCATAATATCTGGCGAAATGACCTCGGTCCAATAAATATGTTTATAAAATCATTAAATATATTTTAAATATTTTTATCTTTCGTATTCTATTGGAATTTAATTGTGGGGTTGAACTTCTATTCCAGTATTTTCTAGTGCATTTGTCAGTAGGATCAAATTACTAGTGGTGAGAGGTACTTATTTTATAGTGTATTTCGGGTCAAAATGACCCGTCCTTGAAACATCATCAATATTTAGACTTCAAACTGAAATAATTTTAGTTTCCCACCTGATATTTGTTATCATTCGGATTCTATTACGATTTATTTGTTTGGGTTGATTTTATAGTTAATTCAGTATTGGTGCACTTTTCAGTAGGAGCGAAGCAGTTGTGGCAGTATGGCAGTATTTTTGATATAGAGTGTATTTCATTAAATAAATAATTTGTTTGAAAAATGGGAAAAAATATTGTAAACAAACACCACTGATAAATATTATGGCAAAAAAGATAAATTATATAAATATATCACAAGTTATATATTATAAACGTAATAAATCTATATAATATATAATATTTGATTAATGGATATATTCTATATAGTAATTTAGACATTAATCCAATACTTTTAATTTGAATTCAATAGTTATTTTGTTTTGTTTTTCTGGTAACATTGATAGATTTTTTGAATGCACCTTTTACTGAATATTATTAACGATCAAAGTCGATTTTGAAAACAATATCTACTATAAAAACAATGCAAGTAATTTCCACACAAATGAATCAATATTTTTTGCTGAATAGTTCAAATTTCCTGCTCGGAATATCCAATGGTCATTAGATCTTTTAACTGTTTATTTTTTTAAGTCTCTTTTTGTGCGGTTTATTTATATTTTCCTCGATTAAAAAGTCATGTGTATTGACGAAACCAATACTCGAACTATGTACATTCATGTATTTTTCATTATTATATTTCATTTTATTATAATATTATTCCATGCATGTTTATTGCCTCTACAATCATTGCACCGCATTTGCTATAATCGTAAATAATACTGATATTTATAATATATTATTATTATTTTAACGGAACAGACGCATATATCACATTATTATGTAATTTTTTCGCATTATTTATGTAATGAAATGCAAAAGAATTGAATATGATAAAATAATCTATTTAGGTCTTTTCCCGAGTTTCTTTAATAAATATTTTTTGCGCTTTTATGCAAATATATTCACATTTAAACAATAGACCGTAACGTGCCGTTGCTTATTCGTAGAAAGTAGTAATGAATACATACCGGATCTTTATTTATAGTTATATACAATTATGCAAATACGTTCAACGTTAAATAACAATTCATAGTCAAAACACTTATAACGTATTTTCACTAAAAGTTTCATAAAAAAATTGAATTATCATTTCGATATTTAAAATTGATTAAGTTTTTAGCGCATTTAACTTCGATTTCCGAACAAAATTAATATACGTTCGAAAACCGATGCTTTTTCTGTAAGTTTCAAGTTCTGCAATCGAGGCATTCAAGAAGTATAGTTTCCACAATTTAAAATATAATCTACGCAAAAGAAAACGTAATTAAAAATAATGTCTCACAAAAAACTAAAAAAAATTATTGGCCAATAAACTGCTATTCACTATACGTTTCTCCGTCTTTTCTCATAATATTTGATATAAGCGTGTACACTAAAAAAGTTTATTTTAATTAAATTCAAAGTGTTAGGACACTAACTATCATTGCTGCAGTCGCGGTTAACCCGTTACTTTACCGGATATTGCTGTTAAGGGCTGTTTACTCAAAGTGCAGTTAAGATCTGAGAACATCCACAATTACAGGTGAGGGTAATATCGCTGTGCCTCGACAAAAGTTTACACAGAGGTTTCGTGTGTATTCGCATTAATCATGAGGGCAACTGAGTCAACTTCGTCTTAAGGAAATTATTATTACTTGGAGCTATTAAGATATATTTTAATTTGCATGATATAATTTTGTTGAATTTTTTTTAAGCAAACAGTACAAGAAATAGGATGTATTTCTTGTACTGTTTGCTTAATAATCCAAGACACTTTTTATACAGTTTTAAGGTACTCGGCCTAATTGAGGTTTCTAACAATTCGGAATATTGGCGAAATCGATTATCCTGACTATGCGAGGTATTGCTGTCGTTTATTAGTATAATCATTGCAAAATATATTGTGTTCTTTTTATTAAATAAGTTTTTCAATTATTTATCATTGCATGTGTATTGAAATAAAATTAATAAAGCGAATATATTATGATCAATTATTTATATCTTGTCTCTCCTTTATACAGTCAGGAAACTTTTTATACAGTTTTAAAATATATTATATTCATTTTCTAAATGCAAGCATCTTCATCTCAATTATTAAAATAATATTTATAAAGATAAATCATATAATATGTTTCATCTAAATTAAAAATTTAAAAAAATAATTATGAAAAATCTATTCTTTTTATATTTGAATTTGATTAAATGTAAATACATATTTATATAAGCTTTAACACCTATTAATGACTAACATTTCTAGTAAATGAATAGATTAAGTTTAGAGACAGGACTGTATAAATCATCCGTGCAAGAACAGCAAGTTTTGACATAACCGTAATATTCTGCATAACTGGTTCAAGTTTAGGGTAACTTAATGATAACTTTATCTATTACTCTTAGTATAGAAAAAACATTTATTTCATGCAAATAATATTATAACAACTTTAAAAAATAATATTATTTTCCTTTAAATTTTAAATAATACTTGATAAACATAATAGTTAAATAATAATTTACATATTTTTTAACACATTAGTAATGATTTTGTAATAATAAGCATTGTATTTGTGTATTTATTTGTGTATCATTAATTATTTATGTAGCACTAATTAAGATTTTGTATTATAATATTGTTTAAAATGTAATATTTTAATCAATTCATTAACAAAATGGGACTAAAAAATGTGTGCGTAACAGTGAACAATAATGAATGTACAAATAAACAAAATTAATGAAATTTCTCATAATATGTTAATATCTTTAAAACTAATTGAAATATTTGAAAACTAGGTAATATTTTTCTTATGGTAAAAAAAATAACATATTAATAGAACAGTTTTTGAAAATAATAATGATAATTTTAAGATTAAAAAATTAGAAATGTACAATGAAGTAAAATGTAAATAATATTTGTAAACAAATATGCAAAAATTTATTTGAAGAAATTGCATTAATATCTTAAAAAAGTATATTAAATAATTTTATTAGGGCGGAAAGACCTCGGTCGATAGCCCTTTGGCCAGCATGTTAATATTTATTTTGTTAATTAGTGTTAGAATTTATTTACTTATTTTTATTATTTAGTTGTTATTATTATCATTTATTTATACAATGTACTCTTTTTTTGTGTTTCCTGTCTGGCCAATAAATTATTATTAATAATTTTATTAATTTAAAAGAAAAATATAAAAAAAAATCATAAATATACTATGAAAAATGTGAACTCTAAAATATAAAACTTTTTAACTATTTTTTATTTCTCAAGAAATTTGTTACCGCAAGTTTATTTATGAAAAAAGTGGTTATAATACAATATTGTAATTTTAATAAAAATGTTATTAATGTAGCACAAAATTATTAAATAATAATTAAAAAATATAATTACCAATATGAGGAATTGCATGTAAGATTTTTAAATAGTTGTTCTGCCAGTCGTAATAGCTGTAATCAACTGTGATCACATTCAAATTGTCCTTTGCCATAAACTTCTGCACCATTTCCTTGTAAATGGGCATTTGCACATTTTCGTTAAAACCATGTATGATGATCTTGGTATCAAGATTCTTCTCGAACTTTTCCGAGTTATAAAACAAATCCAAAGTACCATTGAACTTCTGAGAATACCAGTAGAAGCTAGTCTTGAAAGTGTTCTGCATCAAGTAGCAGCTTGAGCTGCTCACTGTAAAATTAATAAGAATAATTAATAATTAAGTTTCTTAGGAAATCGTGTTATAAGAGAATTTTTCCAGGGGATGAACTATTGTCACATTCAAATCTCGTCTTAACAGTTTTAAAGAAATCGCGTTATTCGGAAGTCTACTTTATATAAACTACTTTATATAAATTTATGTTTCTAATACTTACCTATGATTAACAACGTTAGAAGGTGTGCGAAGCCCATGATGTTCTGTACTGAACGTAGACTGCGTTCGGTTTATATAAACAAAAGTATTACTTATCGGTCGTTTTGAATGCACATGTGATTCATAAGCGTTGCAACCTCTTTGTTATCCAATGTCAAGGACGAGTTTCCTATTCAATACCCGCAGCCCCCATTGTCCATCGGTATCGCAATCAAAATTGTATGCTTTTCCGATGTTGCTTTCGGCAATTCGAACGAAAAACAACAACAACAAAAATAAACAGGAATGCAAATGAAAATCAATTGCGCTCCTGGTGTCAGACAATCCATTCATGCCTTGTCCGACTGCGAAACAAACAAAAAAAAATTAAAAAAAAAGTGGGCGAGAGTTGAAAAAGTAAAATAAATAAAGCTCGGTACTCGGAAACACAATTATTTTGCTTCGATTGTAAAACCTAACGACTCTCCCGATGTAATCTTATAATTAAATCTGTATGGTGCTGTGTAATTGTTTTAATTCCGTTCGCAACGCGAGGACCGTAGGAGATATACACGGATTTTGATAAAAATCTGCGGGGGCGGTATTCTCTGAACCCCTTCACACCCTGCACCCTAGAGCCGACCTCCGCTCGACGAACACTACTTTCGCCAATTTTATTTTCGCTGAAAACATCCCCTGGTTTTAGTGCGACATGCCGTGACCCCCCCTGGCATAAATTCACGTTTACGTTACATGCAATTACCCACCATCGCGGAATAAAACAACAACGGCATCACTTTTAAATTAAAACGCGTTTATGAACTCGTAAATTACCGTTTTTTTTTTCACTCTTCGTCTCTCATTTTCTCTCTGCATTCTTGATTTTTATCTGCTTCATGAGTAACATAGTAAGAATATTCTTTACTTTACAAACAAAGTGCATGTTCATATAAACTTTGAAAAGAGAAAAAGATTGTAAAGACATATAAATAGATATTAAAAGTCCGATTATCGTATGTTAAGGATATTACACTATGTACTTGAAATGAAAATTTACCTAATACAGAAGATTTAAGACGAAATTGATAGTGGAATTAAAGATTATATAAGAAATCAGTTATATTTCATTCAACGTCTTTGACTTTCTCTCTTTATGGTATTTTTCTTCATTCAATATACATTATAGATTATTATAAAAATATAGTAAATACGTGCAATTTTATTAATAGACATAAAATTGCACATATTTATTATAGTTTCATTAACAGATTATACGGTTATTAGTTTAGGCAATATTCAATAATTGAAAATTGTGGTATTTAACTGATCAAAAAGATTATAGACGAAATTGGTAGTAGATCTAAAAATTATATAAGAAATTCCAAACTTTTTGTCTCTTATTTTCTCTCGTCATTGTATAATTCTAGATTTAAATCTGGAAAAGTGTACGATTGAATGAAATGCGAGTAAATTCGTGCAAATGAAGAGACACACAAAGATTGATATTGCACGTGTGATCAACGTAGACTGCGGCTATTTGTTTGAATCGAAGTATATTCCTTTAGAATTAGAAACAAGTAATACAAAGGTAAGTATAAACAGGTAATTCCCACAATTTCAATTGTTGATTTCCATTCCTCTTACAAGGAAATTTGCTATTTTAAAACTGATTTCTATAGTTTTATACAATCGAGTATATCTAAAGTGACCATACGTCCCACCTTTGGCGGGACAATACCAATTTTTTAACAAATTTATCATAGTACCGTTTTTTAAAAGAATGTACGTTTTTGCTAGTTTACAGTAAAAATAAATAAATAAATCTAAGACTTACACAATAAGTGTTAAGACTACATTTAATCTAATTCTCAATCACAACTTTATTTATCAAATATAAATAATTTAATATTTAATTAATAGATATTTATAATTTGATCAACATAAAATTATATTCTTGATATTTTCCTTTAGGTCAAAGGGCTAACAACAACCAAAGCCTTGCTGCCTGATACTCTTATTATTTTATGAAAGTTTAGAATAATTTATGTTTGCTATGCATTTATCAAAATTTCTTTATCTTACATTAGCATATAGCTTACATTAAAGTAAAATTGAATCATACTATTTCTGGTGATGAGTCATATTTTTTTAAAATCAATTTGAATATGCATTGTATGAAAACAATAAAAATTATAATAATCATTAAATATTCATTTTTATTAAATAAGTTCATTACAAAAATATAATAAATAATTTACTGAAGTGATGGTATTAGTATATAGTAAATGTTATTGGAATTGTTATTTGCCTGCTCGGTTGGCGAAGACAATTCCATTTCAAAAGATTGTTGATATAAGTTACGACATGGACAGCCACTTGGACCAACTTATGTGCATGTTGCTGTGTAAATTGCTTTCCTGAAGGAGGATTCCCCCGTTGGCTCGCATCCAAGTTTTTCGGGGACCGCTACTACTCTAATCCAAGAGCAGACTATAAGAAGCAGATCCTTTGTTAACAGCTTCGATACTTTATAGGACAACCATACACATTACTGGACACTACAAATTGTGATTGTCGTGTTTCCCATACAATCAAATCAGCAGTTTTATTTTCATCAATTATTATTAGCATAATTAAATTAGTACAAATAATCATTTATTCACTGTATGTGTGAAGATATAATGAATACATAATACATAAAATACACATTTTTTGTTAATTTGTTCTAATAAGAGTTTATTCAATCATTATTATTTGAGTGATTAAAAATATTAATATATTTTTTTCCCAAATCTAGTTGTCTATCCACAAGGATAATAAGTTGTGGTACTGTTATAGTATACACCATTAGAATGGTCAGTTGGTCCAATGCAAAATTGTGTCAGAAATTGAATAAAACGTGTTCAGATTCTGTCGATCTCGGCTTTATAGTCAATAACGATGATCTACGTTCTAGAGTACGTGTCTTTATTATCGTTGTTTTAGTTCTCAAAAGGACATTGAAAATATTTTGCAATATTGTACTTTTCCATTGGTTTAATCAATCACTTTTAAATTTTCATATATTTTTAGTATTTTTACTGTTTTCAATATCGAAAACAGCATCGGGATTTCCTGAAAAAAAACCACTGCAATCAACCCTTAAATAATATTAGTTGTGTTCTATTCAAAACCGTGATACTTCAGTTATGTATATGTTAAAGGATATTATTAATTATATAGGATTTTACACAACGTCGAAATGAAATTCTATTATGAAATCTGAAAAAGCATATTTGAAAAAAACCGTCTCACGGTACTTCCAGTGTTTACGAGGGTTGTTGCAATTTTTGACCGTGTTATATAAAACTCCTTATAATTCAAGATATATTATATATAAATGTATTTATAAAAATAGAAATTTTTCAAATGTTGTGTCAACATTTAGTTATTCAATTCAAATTGTAACATAGAATTGCTATTTTCTAAAATCAGTGTGATTATGATAATCCCTAGATGATTATTTAATGAAGAAAAGTTGAAACATTTTCTAGCTCGATACAATTAATTGAATGGATCCAGTTTGTAGTAAAACGGAATGGGACCTAAAGGTGTTTAAAGTATACAGTCTAAAATGACGTGCTAATTATCTCGAAAATTTGCATCCAAAAGAGGACGAAGCGAAATAACAATTGTTTCGATAGGGGGAAAAGTTTCGAGCTTTGTAAGTACACCGGATGGGAATTACCGTGCACAAACGCATGTTCGCAAACTGCAGGGTTATTACCTCACGTTTTGGCGCGAAGTTTGAAAAGCTTTGGATCAGGTCGGAAGGGTGATAAACGGGGCGAGGAGATAAGATCAAATGGGACAGTAAATTTTTAATAGATGATGGAGGTGTTGGCGGAGGGTTCATAAATCTCTCTTCTTGGTTCGCGTAATTACGAAAACGGCAGCGGCGAAAAGTTTCCTCATTCTCTCTCTCTCTCTATCTTTTACATTCTATCTACCTTTCTCGCTCTCTGTTTTTCGCCCTTTCGGTGAAGGGTATTTAAAATATCTGGGAATACGAAAGCTGCTAGTCTATAGATAACGTGGTATTGTTGGCCTCGCGAGATCATGAAGAGGACAATTATGGTCTGCGCTTTTCGGATGCGATTGTTCTAATGTTTATTAGCGATGATAGCGGTGTTCGTTAAGTTAAAATAAAACTGGTTGAAATGTTTCCCGGTTTACAACGTACGAGTAGATATGAAAATTGCTATTTGGGGGTTTCCAAAGCAACATATAATTAAAAAAATATGTACATCTAGACTATTCGAGAAACGTATGACTATTATTGATTTACATAATATGCTGTCACGAATCATATGTTTTATCAGAGACTTGTTAGCATTCCTGTTGATAATACACATTCATATTAACATAATTATTATTTATTTTATTATTTGGTCCAGAAACCTACGTTAATATGTTTATATGTAATTATTTATGCAATTGTAGTTAAATTATTACTTATAATCATACTTCGATTGTCGAATAGTTATGTTCCATGAAATTACTTCGTTAAGCAAAATTTTCAGAAACTTCGGAAACAAAATGAAAAAATATTTGATTAAAAAAACAATCAAGTAAAATCACATGTAAATATAATTGTTTGTCCTTCTTTCTTTTCCATTTGAAAATTCTTCCTAAATCAGGACAATTTTCATTAAAAAAAAGAAATCCTTTTCTTTGGCATAAAACACTGTTTTAAATCTTTAATTGTTAACATTTTTGGTTGGAACTTCTTTAGTTTCGTTGTCTTCGTTGATAAGAAGGTTTTCTAAATCTTCCACTAAACAACCATCATCTTCTGCATTCTACATTCAACCATCGTCTTAATCTGAAACAAAGCTAACTAACTAACTTATCAAATCATCCATCCATTGAAAAACAAGAAAAATACGGAAAATTATTTGAATACATATGTTGGTATATTAAGAATAGTAAATAGACCTTTCCATATAATAAAGTTTTAGTGGGAAATAGACTAAATGTTACTTTTGATATTTTTCATTGAAATATGCATATTATCACCTAATTCATAAATCAATAGAATATTTTAGCTTGCTGTGAGAATAT